ATACTAACCTCACTCATTTCTAAACAACTAAGACAAAAATGTAATTAATTCAGAAAATCTTTTCAGGACCCCACCTTGATGTTTCAGGACCCCACTTTGGGTCCCGACCCCAACTTTGGGAACCACTGTTTTAGATGATTAGTACTGGTCTGAAGAAAAAAAGGGACTTATTGTGTGCTGAGGGTACTTCACAATAAATAACTGAACAAAAACAGTTTCTGATTAACTGATGAGATTTTTAACATAAAAAAATGTAAGAAATTATCATGAAAGACAATGGCTGTGTTCAAACTCAGGGASTGGGTACTTCGAAGGGCATGGCCTACCCAGTCTAGGTGAACCCATGGTTGACTATCAAGACTGGAAAAAAGTGTCTGTCAATTTGGACAGTTTAACCTTCTGCTTTATTCAATATATTCAATATCAATATAAAAGTATTAGTAATGTTTTAAACTGACTAAATTAGCTTAAGTATTTAAGAACTAACTGACCCACCATGCATGCATGTTGACTTTRCTATACCAGCTCATTTGATTTCTGACAAGAATATTATTAATGCAAATGACAAAAGCATTAACAACACAACAGCTTGAAACTTTAATTTTTAATACCACTACTTTTTATTCAAAACTGTATTTCTTTTTACGTTTTGTTTGCCAATTCAAGCACAAAAGAAAATGTCTGGTCGCTCCACAATGCATCCATGGAATTGGGTGGGCCGAGAAGGATCCACCAGACCCGTCCCTCGAAGTGAGGAAAAAGGAGGATGAATTGTGGGTCGCTTCAGAGAAGTCTTCAAATTTGGACCACCTCCCGCGTGGCGCAGTGACAAAAAGGACTGACAAATTTGGTCTTCAAAGGACACAGCCCTTGAATTTGGACACAGACAATATTTTTATAACAGAGATCTTGATGGGAATAGTCCAATCTGGGTGTGTTTTGTATTTTTTGTAACAACAACATCCAACTGCTGAGCTGTTTCTAGCTTGAACTTGTGTTGAGAAAGATTTACATGTTAGCAGAATAATGAGCAAACCYGGCCTCAAAAATTTTCAAGGATAATTTAAACCAAAAACACCCCTACCAATTACCTATCCTTAACCTCAGCAACAGGTCAYTGGAATATCAAGGAAGCAAAGAAAATTAACTGACATAAACCAAAATCAAATCACRCTGGGATAACATTTTTAGTAAATAGACAATGAACGACTAACTGAAGAGGCTTAAAGAACACATTAGAGCCACGGGTGTGACAGCAGTGGTGTAAAGATCAACATGAACTGATCCGATTAGAAAGCAGCACCACATTTTGCCCCCCTCACATCTGTCATAATATCATGTAACAAAKATGCAATTGGTTTTCTATTTGTGGAATAACTAAGATAGATTTTCATGTCTGCTTCAAGCCCTTGCACCAATCCATCTTTCTTTGAGTACATGGGATGTTGGGCTGTGTCTACAGCTGATGGTGATAAGAAGAAATTGGATTTTACGTGTAATCACTGGGTATGGGATGTTAATTGTACAGAGCCSTGTCCTGTGGGACGTAACGTAAGATCTGTGGGGAAAACACACATGCTCAAACACATTTAATGTGTGCTTTTGTTTAGACTAGCTGTGTTTGTGGCCTAATTGTTGAAGGTAGCTAGATGAGATGGTCTTTAGAAATTTGTGTACATGGAGTAGCTTGGTTCATTGTGAATTGTTGACTGACTTTAAAGAACTCGTGTTCTCTGCTCTCTCAGGCCTCCTGGARTTCTCTCCCCTCCTCCTACGATACCTTGTCTCAGGTATGAGTTAACTGACTGTAGTTAGACACTGTGTATTAGTACTGGAGTGTCTCTAGTGTCACATGTAGCAAAGAAGCTTTGTTTATCATCCTATATATTATGTGGGAGGACAAGAAAACAAAGCAAGAAAAAAAGAAACTATTCCCTGATGTCTTGTGGTGTTTGGGTGTCTTTGCACTGTAGCAAGTTGGAAGCTTGGCAAGCTGTAGTRTATTAGCTGAATCCACCTGTTGAGCTTTTCACTTGTCTCTGCTCTCTAGTGCGGCCCATCTGTTTGTCTGAGTAGATGCATAGAGCCTTTCACCACTTCCCTGGCTTGGTTTCCTTTCARCCTCCCGTCCCTTTCTACACAACATCGAAGTTGTAGCAAAGAGGAAGCTGTAAAGATCCAGGAGACAATATTCATCTCTTTGATTCCCCTCTTCCTCTGATTGCGTCCGCACGCCTGATGAGCCACAGTTAGCCGAGTCGCGCAGCTGTGTGATCCCCGGCTCACCGAATCATACAGCGCGCCACAATGTCAACTTCTCCTCATTTACCTCTTTCTTCAGCCTCCTTCACAAACTGCTAATGAAGTCAATCACAACTGTTTTTCCCCTGATCCTTTTACCCCAGCAGCTGATGGTGTGCGACTGGATCCACAATGCTCTTTTAATTAGTATAGAGAATAAATTGGTTGAGCATGCCTTTTTTCTTAATTGCTTTTTCCTCAGCTTGGATTTAATTGGGCTGCAGTGCTGTTTATTGATCTACTTTGATGTGCTTTAATTTGGATAATTTTATATATTTATTTTGGACGTGACAAGCCAGTTTGTCTTCAGGGGGAAGAGCGTTCAGGACCATTGGTTCAGCAGACTGCAGTAAATTCAGTGAGCCTGGAGTCCGGTGTGTGGCGGTAGCTAGGTGGGGAGATGATCAAACCCAGAAGGCAGCATAGCAGCTCCACTGCAGTCTGAGAGGCCTCAAGTGAACAGCTCTTTGATCTCACATCAACAGCTAATAAAAGCCAATGTGAATCAGTAAAGCAAGGAAAGCAAGGTTTTCAAAGCCAGCCTTAACAGGCCTGCAGGCCACTACACATTTCTTCCAGCAGCTAGCTTGTATTTTGTGCCTGATTCATGCTGCGTCATTTCTCCCCCTCCTGCTGCAACAAAGCCCAATTTTCATCCTCCGCCTCCATAGTTTCATAATTAGTGGGCTTCTCTGCGTGTGATTGTGGGTTTGTTTTGTAGAAGCRAGCGTGCATTTACTTGTGTGAGCGCTTGTTTGTGCAGTGTTTTAATTTTACAACGGTTATGTTTATTACTCTCGCTACAATCCATCCGCCTAACTCTTCTTTCTCCCTTACCCACAGGGGGTAACTTCACCCTGGCGGAGTTGGGAGTGTGCGAGCAAACTCCCCCTCCGCATCCCGCTGCTGTTCCCTATTGTCCCGACCTGGGCCTCCTCCAGAGAGGGTACTCCCTCAGTGCCGGCTCAGACGCCGACTCAGACCCGGAGGGGCCCTTGTCGCCGGAGCGGGCCATCCAGCTGTGGGCCGGACGTGCGGGGGTCAAATCTCGCCGCAGCTCCGGAGTGTCCAGTCGTGAGAACTCAGCCCTCACCCTCACCGACTCCGAGAAYGACAACAAGTCTGATGATGAGTCAGGTAGGCCGAAAGACTGTTCCAAGTGTTGTCGTGATAGTGTGTGTTCAGTGTTTCCTAACCTACTGCCCACTGATTTGGCAAAAGAAAGAGTAAAGTGAGATCTAATGAAAGAATTTGTACAAGAGTATCAGATGAAATCTGAAGGAAGATCATGGCAGGCAGCCATAAAATGGATTGGTGGAAACTGCTCATGATCTGAAGAACAGTAGTTGGAAACCTACCAGGAAACCCCAAGAGAGTCATCATTATTTTGATCAATAGGATTACCGAAAGCCCTTTTAAGTCATTCACTTGCCTATTTATCAACAGATAACTGTCACTCTCTATAGAGATACCAAACATTAAGCATCAAGCCTTCTACAGTATTTCCAATGATTCTACAAAAGGTTTGTAAGCCACAACATAACGTTTTCACACTGTTTCTGTAAATATTTCTTCCTCTGGTGATTGAAAAGTGTTGCTCCAGACTCAGCGTCATGTTTAGCAGTGTCTACAGCACGTGTCCAGTCGAGATCATGCTTTCAAGCGGAAATGATACTCAACGGCTTCTTTTCTGAACGGGGATATGAATTAGTGCTGATGTAGACGAAGGGTGTCGGGTTTCCAGGGAAATCTCTTTCCTCTGGCAACTTTGTTTATTGCCAACTTCCCGTTCCCTCGTTAATCCTGGCGCAGTCGTAAACCTGCGCACCAGCTTCAGAGAGGTGTCAATGGAGGTTAATGAAAAGTGGATGAAAGGAAGAGCAACAGTCTAATTAATTGACTTCTCGGCTGGCGCACGCATCAGCTCCGGATCAACCTGCGTCGGACTACGGGCCTCAGAAACAACTTCTGTTGACTGATCAAACTACTCAACACCTATTAAACACGTCAGGAAACACCTTCCCCGAGACGCTCCTCTCATCCAACCAGCCGATAATTGCTTTGTGGTTAATTACCAAGCTAATCTTGCAGCCACAGATATCAGCTGCAGACGCAGCTCTCCCTCTGTCTCAGGGCCAGGAGAACGCCACCGAGCACTCCGTCGCTCATGTTTGCAGGCCTTGTAAATTTAGCAGCTTAATCCAACTCTGCATTGTGATAATTATTTGCCTGCAGTATGATGTCACTAAATGAAGATCAAGAATTGTGGTTTTTGCGAGAGGTTCTCTAAATAAACTTTGCGGAATAGGGTTATTCATGGATATTTTTGAGCTCCTACTGGGGCCGGACATTTATCGTCAATTGGAGAAATTAGTTTTGATGATTATGCAGAGGGGGCGTCAAAGAAAGTCAATAATGTTTATTTTTGACTTCAAACGTTTCTATAGAAGCGTTCAGGGAAAGCACTGGCTCACATGTTTGCGCTTATCTCGTGGTTTCACAAACTAGAGATTCAGATCAGGCGTCTGCGCTCGGGTCTCTGCCAGCATCAGGAGATCAGAGAAAGGTGCAGCAGCTTGATGAAAAAATAAATAAATAAAAAGACGTTTGTGWGTTTCAGTTTGATCAAGTCGATTCATTAGTCACTTACTGTCGTCATTTGGAATGAGAAAGTCTCACCCTCTCGTTCTTGAGTCTTCCTCCAAACAAATGTCTGATGACTGACGCCACAGGAGCAGAAGATTTCACTCCCACTGAGCCCAACCGGAGTGTGTGCCCCGAGCTGAGTGTCGGTGCCGAGAGTTCATGTGTGTGAATGCTACTGTGGGGCTGTCAGTCTCTGCCTTTGTTGTCTCTTGTCTGTCTGATTGTTGGGAGTGTATGAGCCTAAACCCTTCACATGTGAGGAAGTGTGAAACAGGTGCAACTGGAGGCCCAATGTCAAAATATCAACACGGTGATCTGAGGGTCTAATAATAGACACTGACAGAGCCAGACAGAGGCGCACGTCATAAAGCACATGCTAACAAATCAAAAAGACGGTGACGTGCTTAAACACCGAGCATCGTGTTGCACCACTCTCATCTCGCTGCGTCTCCGGCAATCTTCAAAAGTTTCACCTTCACTCGCTTCTCCTCCTCCTTGCCGTCTTCCTCGTCTTTCATCTCTCTCCTTTGTAATTTCGAGCCTCTCTTCCTCTCGCCTTTTCATTCACGCTGCGCCTCTCACCATCTCTGGTTGGGCTCCGTCAGCGTGGCTCGGCAGCGTGACTGACAGGTATCAGTTCAGGAGTCTAGATATTTTTTTTTCCTTCTTCATGGCACGAGGGCACAGGTGGATGAACGCATGTAAGCCTCAACGTATATCCAGTACCAACGTAGACAACTCAGAGAAATAGTGACAGTTCTCACTTTTTAGGTTACTGTAAATAGTGTTGGATTTTGTGTGTGTGTTTATGTGTGTTTTGTGACAAGAGGACAACAAGCTGTAGAGCGAGTGATGATTGTATTTACACATTTCTTTTAGCTCATTTGTTTTTAATCTTCACTGTTGAATGAAAAAACAAATACATTCTAAATATAGTTTGAGGTTTGCCTAACTACGTGAGCTATTTTTAAATCTTTTGAAAGTCACGAAAAGCCTGAAAAACAGCAAAACAAACTTGAGTCAATAACAAATTTAAAAAGTGTGATCCTTGCCGTAGCTGTCTGGTGCCTTTGCTAGTCTCAACACAGTTAGCACCACATATACACCTGCATTGTTGGTGTACAGCACCTGGAACRGAGACAAGATGTCATCATTATCATTTTAAAAGTTCAACTGTGAGCTCATTATTGTCACCCGTTTCCACATAAGGTGGGCCACTGGATAATTGCTGTGTGTTTTTTGTTTGTTAGCAAAATATCTCATGAACTRTTGAACAYATTTTAATGAGACTTTCAAAAATATATTTGTATATACTGTACATTTACAACTGGTTACATCTGGTGCCCAAAGTGGGGCCCGTGAACCAAAATTGGCCAACCAAGCCTTTTAAATTGGCCCACCAGCAGCTGCCATGGTTTCTAGGTTGTAATCTTATGTCATCCTGTAGAAACACTGTGYTTCCACTAACAGTCATTCCACTCATTGGCCCAGTGACTAAAGGSCTGCAGTGCAGATAGTCTTCACTGATGGTGCTGATTTTATCTTTGAATTAYACTAAGAATAAACAGGGAATAAAAGTAATAACTACATGAGACATTTAGATTGTATTTAAGCACACATGTAGATTTTCACACTTTATAAGACCACAAAWASTCKTATTTTRTTATTTCATGAAGTGTTGGATAAGCCTTTGCTGTCCGTGTGTACATCAAACTTTCTCTAAGTGCCCGTCTGTTTTCTTCAACTTATCCGGGGTCGGGTCRCGGGGGCAGCAGCCTAAGCAGAGAGACCCAGACTTCCCTCTCCCCAGTCACTTGGGCCAGCTCGTCCGGGGGAATCCCAAGGTGTCCCCAGGCCAGCCGAGAAACATAGTCCCTCCAGCGTRTCCTGGATATTCCTCTGGGTCTCCTATCAGTGCACAAGCTGAAAAAATAATCAAAACGTGGCCACAGCCCTGGCTGCTTGCTTGATCATRGTAAAAAGACGTTACTTGAAAAGTATTTGTATTTCATGTATTATGTTGTTACTTTTGGCCCACATCCCTCGGAAAATCTTTCATTTATGGCTCTCTGAGAAAAAGTTTGGGCACCCCTGCTTTAGAGTGAAAGCAATTGAAGTAGGCCACCACAAGTAATTAACATTAACAAAGAGAATATTGAACATAATTCAGTCAATTTCGCAGATATTGATTGAAAAATGTGTTTTGTTGTCGATGAAAGTATACCTCACAGCACACAACTGAAGCAGACATTACATGACTTCTTTCTTWAATTTTTGGCATTAGCTGTTTGAAAAGTGATCGAATTGAAAGCTCGAATTAAAGCAGGAAACTGACCCAGTTTTCAGTTTTGAACATTTATTTTGCAAACCTGTAAAGTGTACAGCCCCACAGCGCTGACTTGGGCCAGATGCTTCAGCCTCTCTCTGCTCAGTTTTTTTGGCTAAAAGCCCAGCCCTACACAGACTCACAACTTTTCCTCAGAATCAGGTCACGCCTCCGGAAATGGCATTATGGCAACAAAGGAAGTAATCTCACCTAACAATGTGAGCTGATTCTCAGAGAAGTCCTGAGTTGCTGAAATATTAAAAATGTTTGTGTCTTTTGTTCAGTGCAGGACTTGTGTTAACTAATTAGAAACTATTTCTTAAAACTACATTATAAATAGTGTACAGGAAAATGATTGTACATTGATTATATAAACATTTCAATATAAAAGTATCAAAAAACCTTTAATATAAAATATCAAAATACGAATGTGTATACATACCTCATAGAGCACAACAGATTTTAATGAAACTCTCAGATTGTAATCACTGTTTGAACATTTACAGCCAAGTACCTCTTTGGGATCGCTCTGATTCAAGGTGGCCACTGCAGTTAATCAACATCAGAAAAC